ATGTAGGAGTTCTGTTCAGTTCCATTGATGCTGTCAGGCAGCAGCTCATATCTGTAGTAGTATTTAGCAGGAACAGCTTTATACCAGTAGAACCTCCATCCTGCAGACGGAGGTTTAACCTCACAGCTCAGAGTCACTGAGGCTCCAGGACTCAGCCATGATGGAGACACAGTCAGGATGGACTCTGCTCATGAGAGAGTAAAGAAATGTTGTGTTCAGTCTTGTTTTCCAGCTCCAACAAACAAATCAGCATCASAAACCACATTATCATAACATGAAGGCTTCAAAACACTATTGTACTTGTTTTATTAACACATTTTGTAGAGTAACTTCATATATTTTCTTCCTGTTGTTGTATAAAGTTACACAACAAAGGGCATTATAAAATTAGAGAAAACAACTATCCCTGATATTTTAGAGAACAGTCGCATGTATAACATACCATGTATTGTGATATTGACAGCATTACTGAACTCCCCAGATCCAGACTCACACCAGTACACTGCTCTGTAGTACACTAGATGCTTAAAGGTACATGAGGATCCAGCCATTCTTCCCCAGAAGGAACAGTCTGATAAATAAGACTGATGGGATGTTTCTGTATACATCCTCACTCTCCACTCGGCTGAGGTTTCTCCACAGTTCACTGAGACCTCATTTCCAGTTAAAAGTGTCCTGTTTTCAGGACTCACAGTTAGAGATGCTGCTAATTCAGAATCTGAAATCATGAAAACAACAAAATAAGAAAGTCAAACACGAGTATGCTAAATCCAAAAATATTTCTTTCATTTAATTTATTAGTGAAATGATTAATTTATTTGGAGACGACTAAATGAACACATCTACCTTCATACTCAGAGGAACTACCATCACAAACATAAATACAAACAAACACATAATAACAAATAAATCTTGACTCTCTGATTAGGAACAAGTCTCATTTAAACAGAAATGAAGGTGCAGAAAACTGAAGCCATCACATGAGGATCTCAGGATGTTGTTAATGATTATCAATTAAAGAAGGCAGAGGTAAAAAAAAGAAATGATGTGTTCCTGTTCTCATTATGTGATTTCAACTGTAGAACAAAAAGCTGAGCTAAAATTTTTATCAGAAAGTGATCAGATGTAGCAGTATTCATCAAATAACATGTACATGACAATAACACAAGAAAACTATTTTAAACCACTGAGATGGTTTTTGGTTTTGGTGTCTCCTCAAAAATACCAGCATGTCCAAATTAGTCACTCCTGTGAAACATTAAAAGTTAAAAATAAACTTGTTTTAATCATGTTTACATTTAAGAAACTCTGTTTTTTTTCCTGCATGTGGGAATTCATTCAAAAAATATGAAAACATGAGAATGTGTTGACATAAAAGTGTTAAAAAATAAAAATGAATGTAAGACATGATATAATATCAGTTAAACAGAAACACACTGACCTGCAGACCAGACAAATTTTGGTTCACTGTAATCATTGAAAACCTCTGGGTTTCCTTTTTTAGCTCTACATGAATATCCTGCTGTGTGTCTTTGTTCATCAATGATGTAGGAGTTCTGTTCGGTCCCACCATATATCAGTTCATATTTATAGTTGTAAGTGTTGGTATAAACACTCTGGTATCTTTGTTGAGCAGAGTTCTTTTGTACCAGATCAGGAACAAGTTTGTACCAGTAGAACCTCCATCCTGCAGACGGAGGTTTAACCTCACAGCTCAGAGTCACTGAAGCTCCAGGACTCAGCCATGATGGAGACACAGTCAGGATGGACTCAGGTTTATCTGTTGAAGAAACATTTTTTCTGAATGAAAACATGTCATGTTAAGTTTAGTTTGTTAACAGTGAATACAGTTATTTGTCAAAATAATAATCTTCAATGCCTCTCAGACTAAAAATCTAAAATGTCTCTTTTTATGTAAACACAAACAGCTGTGGTTTCTTTGCTGTTCTGTGAAGAACAAAATGATTAAAGGTCCATTACAGCATTAGATATTTACATGTGTTCTACAAAATGCAATAATTCTATAACAACAAATAAAAGGCATCCGTTTATAAGTCATGAACACCTAATAATTATTTTTCTTTTATTTAAATCTGCCAACTGGTTTATAGAATAATTTGSTGAAACAACTTCCAACTTTGTTCGACATTTGAAGTTGCATAAAGAACAGTAGGTGGTTCTTTTCTTTCTTTATGACTGAAGCTAATGTTTTGTCATGCTATTTAAATCCAGTCCTTCAACACATCCAAGAAAAACACACAGCTTGTTAGCTCAGGGTTGCTGATGGATGATGAGCAGGGGTCTGTTTCAGAAAGCATGTTCTGTACCTGAACTCAGGGAAGACACTTTTACTCTGTCTCTGCTGCACGTTCTGCTAACTTGTTCAAAACCTAACTTTGTGACTTACACCAGTGTGTTTGCTATTTTTTTCTTGCATCAACACAAGTTGTTATAGTGTGACAGGACCTTAAGATTAAGAGAGGCAGATAAATAAAACCGCAATGAGATGACATCTCCCACCTTTCTACGGTTTTAACACATTCCAAAAAAGGAAATGTTTCATCAACCTACTGATTATACATAAACAGTTGAGACAAAGATATGCATCAGTTACCTTGAGCAGCTTTGCAGAGAAGAAAAGTGAACACTAAAATGAAAAAGATATCACACAATTTTAGAGAAACATTTTTTTAAAAATAACTGAAGAGAAAGATTAAAAATATATATTCCGTACATTTGAGTGAAACAGAGACGGGTTTAACAGAGAAGCTTCAAAAAGTGGAGGTACTCGAGATGGATGGKTTTAGRGACAAGAGAGGTGAAGAAGAGAGAGCAGCAGGGTGGAGTGGATAGAGATGAGTGTTTGAGACGATTTGTAACAAAAGGAGAGCTCCAAATGTAAAAAGGAAAGTTTACACAAGACCTGTTCTGACAGGGCTGGGCTAAACCAATTTAGTGCCCTGGGTAAAATTTGGGGTGGTGCCCCTTATGTAATTTTCTAAATCTCACTACCATTTTACACAATATTCACATATCAAATTAAATAGATTTGTCTTCAATATGTTTTTTTATCATTAGAAACCAGGTCATCCAATGAAAATAATTGCTGCAATGCTGGAATATGATAAAATAAAGGTCAAATGTCAGCTGTGGCAACCCCTACAGGGAACAGTTAAGAGTAGCAGAAGAAACATTTAGGGGTAAAAAAAAAAAATGCGAAAGTAAATAGAAAAGATTCCTGTGACTTTTTTTTGGCATTGCATATTACACAAAATTAGAAGCAAAAATACAAAAAAAAAGTCCTCTGAATATTTTCCTTCATGTTTACCCTTTAAAATAAATGATGTACTYACACAATGAAGTCAGCACATGTAGRAGAAAAGTGTGTCCCATCCTGACATCCAACACTGACAATGTGTCTCTGCTTAAAGAAAGAAAAAAAATCCTATTTGTAACAGATTACGGTCTGAAACTGTGAGCAGCTCAAAAGGAACTGTGGGGAAATGTCACAGAATGAGACCAGCTATTTTAAATTTAAACTTTAGTTCTTCCGTTTGTTTCTTTCACACCTTTTCTTCCTCTTTTTTTTTCTTTTTTTACAGAACGCTGCCATTTCCTGCCTTGACATTTCAAGTCCACATACTCAGAATACATTAAGAATAATTTTTAATATAACAGCAACACAATATGTGCCATACCCACACACATTCACATGTTTATGTTAGAAATATTTCATCATGGGCAGTTTCACATCATTTCATAATCAGGTAAATTTTTCAGATATGTTTTTGTTAGTCTCAATAAGGAAGTCTCACAATATGTTAGCCCAGTCATTCTCCACCACTCTGGGTGGAGTCTACCATTTAGACTGTGGGATTTCCAGGCCAAAGGTCTTAAACCCTGCTCCCCGTGACCCACTGGCTTGCATGTTTTAGCGGTTTACTTGCTTTGGAACACCTGATCCGAATAACTAAATTACCTACTTTGAATGTTATCAAGTTTAGCAGAAACCTGTCAATCACTCATTCATTTCAGTCAGGAACCCTGTGTGTGTGTAACTTTGTGTG